ATCTGTTTAAAGGTATAAGTTAAAATGAAATGTCTCTGGTGAGATAAAAAATGGCTGCCAGGCATCTTACAAAGTGTGCAAAAAAAACCCTACATGATTCCACCCTATCAGCTGCTTCCTGTTGTGTTTTTTATCTGATGGTGATGCACTGTTTACATTGTGTCATGTTTGTCTTGCCACAGACTTGACACAGTGAAAATGCCGGGCATTTGTTGTAGAGTAACACGGAAGGTAACCTTAATTGAAAACAATGATGCAAGGAACTCAAATACTGACCCCTTGATGAGAGTAAGCAGATCATTTAAATTATATATTTATGCACAATTATCACAAAATGTCAGAGAAATAACAATTCTTCAGCAATTAGGCAACAGCCTGCAAAAGTAAAGTGGGGCCTATTTTCACCAGAGCACGCCCCTTAGCACACCAAATTGAATATTCGCACTTTTTCCACATTATGTGTTTTAGACATGAGCTTTTATTCATAATTCTTCTTTCAAGTGATTCTTTGATGGTACAGATGAAATGAGGTGCTGTAATACAAAATACTCCATTTCAAAAAAATGTTTCCCCTCAAGCTGAGTACAGTTCAAAATCAGGGGATTTAATTGTTCGAACAACATCAGCCTTCAAAGCACAAGGGAACAGACTTACATAGACCATCTACTAAGCTGATTCAAACGAGCCTCTGTTACAGGGTGTCAGCGTTTGGTTAGAACAAAGAATAAAAAAATGTCAGACTTTATCTGTAACTTTAACGATCACTTGTCTTCCCTGTTTCTGATTACAAAATATATTTCCAAGAGAGGTTCATTTGCAATGCACTGTCGTTCACATGCGTTTAAAACATGTTTTCTGTTCAAAAAACTTTCATGTCACATTCAGGGAAAAAAACAACACATTTCAGATTGTAACCATAAATGCATTCATTGAGAAAGAGAGAAACAAGTGGTGTTCAAATGGGTTGTGAATAAAAGATGGTTAAAGCGGCGCACATGGAGTGTCTATATTTACTTAGCCCTCATCATCACAGCTGTACCATCGCTGAAACCTGTGATAGAGTGGAAGTGTGAGATTGTTAAAGTGTTTTTCCTGTTCTGCTAAATCTCTCACAACTGTTATTTTGAGCTTTAATAATTAAAAATAAATAATAATAATAATAATAATAATAATAATACACAGCTCAACTTGCATGGAGCATTCATAACTTTATTTATGAATGAGTGAAGCTAAACAAAAGGTTAAACACCTTAGTTGTTCTATTAATCTTTAAACCTTATTGGCAAACAAGCAAATTATCTGAAATGTCATTCGGACATACAGTGGGTGTCGTTTTACATTTATGTTCCTTACAACTGCAATCAGACATAAGAGCAGGTTTTCGGAAAGAGACTCAATGCTGGCAAGATATTTGCCAACAGTTGTGGGTGAAAGAACAGCTGTGAGGTTAAAAATGTTATGATATCACGACTTTTCTGTTCTCTCACTGATAGATTGTAAAACTGATTTTGCTGTTAAAGCCTTGAAAAATTACCCTCATTGTGTGAGGGACACATTTGCCCCCGGTTTTTACAGTGATGCATTGATATATTTTAATAATGATAATTAATCAATGTCATTATCAAGTTTTATGAAACCGACTTTTGCTGCCTTTTATTAACCTCTCTCACAATTCAAGTGGGAGTAATCAAACTTAAAATTGACTCTTTCACAGCCTTTCATATAGTTTATTAAAGTGATTTTATTTAAATTGTGAAGAAGAGATGACGTCTAAGATAAATGTATGCTGTGATTTTAGAAGACGGAACAAGACGTGCATCTCCATCTTGCTGTCTCAGCATGTTTAAACACATATGTTGCTGCAGCCTTTACATTAATCCAATACATCAGACTGTGTCCAGTGTTGAACGTGTGAGAGTAAAAAGGAAAGTACAAGTGACCTGGCTGCTTTTCAGACATGAACCGTGCGAGGTCCCTATTGAAACTGTAAGGATTATTTTTTTCTGCAAAGTAAGCTCAATTCTGGGGGCCTAAACATACTTGAAAACTCACCAAACTTTGCACACATGTCAGAAGTGGTGAAAAATTTCGTATTTTATGGGTTTCGCGCATGGGCGTGGCAAAATGACTCACTAGCGCCACCTAGAAAATTGGAAAAAAATTAGCCCCTCGTCCATGTTCAACCTACATGCACGAAATTTTCTGGGGACATGTCCAGACGCACAAAAAAGCCTCAAGAACCCATATCCTAAACTCAACAGGAAGTTGGCCATTTTGAGTTTTACGGCCATTTTTGGATGATTTACACACTCCGTACCTTAACGAACTCCTCCTAGGCATTTAGTCCGATCGACTTCAAATTTCTGCCGTGCCTTCTAAAGGCATTGACGATGAAAAATTGTGCCATCTGTGAGTTTTCGTTGATGGGCGTGTCCGTGGCATCAAAGATCAACTCTTCGCCATGACACAGGAAGTTGTTGTAACTTCAGTGTACATGCTCGCATCTGGACCAAAGTGTACATGTAGGATGAGAGTCCCGCCCTGAACACATGTACATGCCGACATTCACCCACAGTCATAGCGCCACCTGCTGGCAACAGGAAGTGACCTTTAACGAAGCAGCCCCCGCCACACGTTTGACCTACATGTATGAAATTTCTGGTACGAGTATCTTGTCCAGATGCACAAAAAAGCCTCTTGGAGCCATAGCCTAAACCCAACAGGAAGTCAGCCATTTTGGATTTAATGGTCATTTTTGGCGATTTACACACTCTGTACTTTAACAAACTCCTCCTAGGGATTTAGTCGGATCGACTTAAAATTTCTGCTGTGCCTTCTAAAGGCATTGATGATGAAAAGTTGTGCTATCTGTGAGTTTTCATCAATGGGTGTGTCCGTGGCGTGGCGTCAAAGATCAACTCTTCACCATGACACAGGAAGTTGTTGTAACTTCAGTGTACATGCTCACATCTGCGCCAAACTTTACATGCTTGATAAGTGTCCCGCCCCGAACACATCTATACGGCAATATTCATTTATAGTCATAGTGCCAAGTACTATGCAGCGCCACAAAGGGGACACAGGAAGTGACGTATAACACCTTCATGCAGTGTCCGAAGCGCGTAGCAAATACACAGCAGCACCGGCAGAGCTCCAGAATATGCAACGCGGTCGCCTCACACCGCGACACGCTACTCATGCGAGGGCCCGCCCAACGCTGCTTGCAGCTTTAATTTTCTCATGTTTTTGTGGCTAATGTGGACAATATTTTTTGAAATTGGTCCTGTATTGAGCGACCACAAAACAGGGCGGGGCCCTTGCAGGTAATTGCGCCCAGTCAAAGTAGGTCCACTAAAGTACGTGTTTTGCTACTGACAGGCAGAGATTGTTATTACAAGTGTCTGACAACAATGTGGAAAGGATCCCGACAGAGACAGACCTTTTTTTCTTAAAGTAAGATCCGTTTTGTTTAACCAGAAACAGTTGTTATATTGCTCTCATCCACTGACTCCATTGATAAAAACAGTAATATGACGGGGCACAATTGCCTGCAAGGATTACATTGCAGCCCTGTCTCGCTACTGCCGAGTGCTCAATACTGGACCAATTTAGACACATAGACACAAAAACGTGGGAAAAAGGGGTCGAAAAATGCCCTTTAAATTGCCATCAGCTCAACGTAAAGAGGTGTATGTCTGAAAGGGGCGTATTTCTATGCAAGCTTATTATAAAAGTTGAAAATCTTCCAATGTTGCAGTTTTATTCCTGTTATTGCTGTTGGCAAATATTACTTAAAAGAGTGTCTTTCTGCTTAACTTATGTGGCAGAGAATTTGCGAATAAAATGATTTAGCAAGCAAAGTTTCTTTATATGGCACCTTTCACAGACATCTGTCAAAAAAGTGCTTCACAGTCAAAGAAATAAAAAGTCAAAGAGAATCAAATAAAAAAACAAACAAATAAAAGATAAGAGGAACAAACATAAGACACAAGTTAAAACATTAAATACCACAGGCTACCTAAATGCCTGTCTGAAAAGATGGGGTTTATTGGGAGACTATTCCAAAGCTTGGGGGCTGCCGACTGGAAAGCACAATCCCCCAGAGTTGAAACGTGTTTGAGGTACACTCAGCTGCTAATTGAAACCTTGCTTAGGCGTTAACACATTTTCAAAGCATTAGAACAACCCTTGCTATGATTAATATACACCTGTCATAACCAATTACATTAATATTGAAGAATGATTAGGCCTGTCATGCTGTGTCTTCCACCCCACCTCTACCACTCGATCACAATCTGGGCTCTTGATTTATGGATGTGAGGTGGCATCTGACTATGTTGGGATAAACCCTAAGATTATATAAACAAGACCTAAGCTCCGAGAAGGCCCCCTACCTCATCAGAGCACATTGTATTGACAAACCTGTGCTTATTGCCTTTATTTTTATTATGTTAGGAAAGGCAGATTAGGATATATAATGCCAAAAGAGTCTTGTTGAATAATCTTCAGGGAGTCTAATCAGTGATCAACAGACCATAATGAGAAAGGCTACACATGAGACCATTTTGGAATTTGTCAGAAGAGGTTCTGTGATTGATGTCTAGAAGAAAGAGCATATAATTATTAGTTAACATGCACAATTCACCAGCAATCTGTAAATAAATTAAATGTGGTGAAAAAAAAGATGGGTTCACAATTGAGTAATCAGGCCTCTTGAAAGGCTGTCATTTGCTTGATTTTACACATCTAGAAATCATTGTTTAGTTCTTACATTTTTTGATTGATTGAAGAGCAGCATTTTTGTTCTGAATATTATGTCTTTAATATCAAATATTTCAGTATTGATTGTCTGTCATGATTGCAATGACTCGGCCAGCAAAAGCACAGAATGGGAACATATACAAGTTAAATTAAATCTTCATATTTCTGTGAATTCATCATGCCAATCCCATATTTATTTCATGACAGTTAATTTTGTGCTTTTATTGGTTTTCTTTCAGACCATGAGCGGATCGGGAAAGATTCATCCTACGAACAAGAGGGGAAGGTTCAGTTTGTGATTGACGCAGTTTATGCCATGGCTCATGCTCTACACAACATGCACAAAGATCTCTGTCCTGGAAAAGTCGGCCTCTGCTCCATGATGGACACCATCAACGGCACACTGCTGCTCAAGTACATCCGCAATGTCAACTTCACAGGTGTGTACTCCTAATCCCACCTAGGATAGGCTTACAACTGCATGTACGTACTATACAGCACAAGTTGTTAGCACTTACACATTTTATCTACTAATATTTAAAAACAGCAAGAACAACCATGTTCAAAGAAATACTTTACCAGCAAGTATTCTGCCAAATGTATATGGTAAGGCACAAGTTTATTTGTACAAAAGCAATCTTGGATGATCTTGGTATAGTGAACCTTTTACAGTATGTCCTATTTTGGGGTTCAGTGACATGCTCATGAAGAGGTTCTGTAAGTATTCAGAGGCCTTCAATTATCAGGCTACTGAATGTAAATTACTCCCAGCAAGCACAAGAGGCTGAGATCTGTAGGAGGTTGACAGTCAGCAGCAGAAAAGTGTTTATCATAGTTGATGGTGCATAGGAACTGTGCTTTGTGAGATTTCCCGCCTTATCTTGTCAACATTGAATTGCCCACACAAGAGATCTCCTGCACCGGCTGCTGAGTTTAAATTTGACAAAAATGAGAGAGTTAACACAAAGCAAAAACGTGCATCAGTAGTTTTCCAGAAGCTGTTCTGGGTAAACTTAAATTCTTTTATTTTCTTAAATTTTTTTGTTTTGCTTGCAAATATAGTGTGGCATTTTCTCTGGAGACAGAAATAGGTACGAGTTAAATACGCTTATGTACACATGTAACATGGCTTTGACCCTTGCATTCTATATGTCACTCTCTGTGAAAACATGAGCTGAGAACCTAAAATGTAATAGAGCCGATGTTTTGACTGACTTGTCTAGCCTCTGTTCAACTAGCTTCTGGAAGTTAATGCAATGCCTCAATGAGCATTTAAAAATTAATTAAAATTAATATTTCATAGCTAAAGCTGCACATTGTTTTGTACCGTCTGTCGCACATTGGCCTGGACAAGAACAACAAGAACATTCAAATACAGAACAAAGACTAACTGGGCTACACTTAACTCTCTTCCTGTTTCAGCATGTGTATATCGTGCCTTATGATTTACATATTATGACAAAAGTTTCCTCAGATAATTTACTTTATTGGGCCATTTGGCACAGGAATAGCTTTGTTAGCTTAATTGACAGTGGCAGTGTTTTATCTTCTGATATTTATCTTTCATGAAAGATGAACATTATAAAATATTCAGTAAAGAGTGTCAAAACTGATATCTAGAAGGTAGCAAGTTAGGTTTTAATTTAAAGTCTCAACACATGCATGACTATACAATTGTAACACTATAACATAACAACTTTGAAACTCTGAAATTAATTATAGGCCTATCTGTACAAGAAAAGATACATACATAAGGAGGTCATGAAATAAGCATGTTCATGAATGTAACCCTTTGCCTTGTAAAGAAATAATAAATATGCGAATAGAACGGGGTCTAACATAGGTCAACTTCAGTGGATTTAACAACTTATGCTAATTATACGTCAGATGAGTAGAGGGTCACAGTGTTCAAGCAATCAAGTAGAATGCAATGTGAGCAGTTAGACACAATCTTAAATCTGCTTCACCCTCAGAGATGATTATACAGTGATGGATACATTTATTTGTATGACAATTACAGAGTGGGATCTTTGGGTGAGGGGCAGCCATGCCACAGCAAGTACATGACAGGAATAATTTACAGTAAATGAGAAAAATAAGGGAACTTCGGGATGAAGAGTAAAGAGTTTAATTGCCAGCATCAGTGCCTGTACAACAGCTTGGTGGAGTACTCCAAAGAACATGACAGTGGAATTATATAGGAATTACTACCCTTGATGCTTGCTGAATTAGCCGAACATTGTTATTAGAGCCACAAACCCTCGTAGGGAGGAGGCTGACTTGGCTGGATACAGGTGAGACTACTGTTTGTTTCCCATTTTTCTACTAACATTCAACATTGCTTTCTTTTAACTGCTATCTAGGCTCCCTACCCTTTACCAAGTAGTTTTAGTGCTTAAGCCAAACTAGTGCTGAAGGATATGCAAAAAAAAAAAAGAATCCTGCAATTTGGATATTGCACATATAGCGATTTCCAAAAAAAGCCCATCTATGACTAGGGGGGAGTGTACTTTCTTTAGGGTCTCCAGGCCCACAGGTCCAGGTTCCCTATTATTCTCCTTCCCGATTCCATGTGTCACTTTTCAAGAGAACATTTTTGTTCAATGAAGGCACATGGTAGTCTACAGCCTCTAAAGGGCAACAGAGGTAGATGGGAAGAAAGGAATCATTTGTCAGGTTACTAAGTAACTCAATTGATACCATACTGGAGAAAATGTATAAAACTGTTCAAAGGAAAAGGCATGACTTGGTATTTACTTCCACAGAGGTGGTTTGGTTTAGAGATTTATGTGAGAGAGTTTTAAAGTAAGTATGGATGGATGTAATATAGTCAACGTAACCTTTATTGTTGGGGATAATAAAGGTTAACTTGACACTTATGTTTGTAGTTACTTTTCATCCCTAATGGACACTGAAAGGAAACTCTGCATTGCTCAGCAGTGTTTTACTGTATGCCCCATCTTCAAAGTCAAAACATTGTTTACCTGTTCCTGAGTGTGCTTATTACTATGTAAGCAGGTCAGTCCTTATTTGTGTAAAAAAAAGACATTGTTTGGAGTTGTATCCTGGAGTCACATTCGTTTAGTTTTCGACACAGATCAATTCTCCCAGCACTGGAGTAAAGCTTTAATCTGTATAAAAAATGCTGTATAGCAGGCTTGGGTTATAGAACTAAACTTCAATTCTTTATGCATTCCTTTATTCACTGTGTTATGTTACTGGAAGGCTTGTCAGCACAGAAGCCTTTGGGCTTACAACAGGGATGGCTAGAAAATCAATGCTGCACATTACCGGAATACTGCTTTGCTTTTAAGAGTCTTTCGGCACAGAGGAATGCAGAATTTAAAAGGTTTGTAGGAAAACAACGGGAATGTTCACATGATCCCAGTGTATTCTGGGAATTATCTACAGACATCCATGCTGACGAAAGGAAAGACGAAACCTAAGCACTACAGATATTGGAGATCAAGTTGATACTTATTGATGCTTGGATTGTGATGCCACTGATGCTGAACGAAGCTGCTGCTGGTTATATTCAGATATAGCATACTCACTGGTACTTAATGCTGTTTTTCCAGAGGATATATTTTGTTTAGCAAAGTAACCTTGCAAGACATAAACTTGACAGTAAAGCTGTGTTAAAAGTGGCGTGATTAAAGGTTGGCTGTAACATCGGGTTTAAACAGCCAATTAAAGCTGCCTGTTTTCATGAGGTTTGATTACTAGTTTCATTTAGAGGTAATTTGAGGAAGTGCACGGTCACAGAATCATATAATATATATATATGGTAGAGCAATTTGCTCAGACAATTCTAACAGTAATTATGCCATGGATGTTTGGTTGCACAAGTAAGACCCACTTTTTTGCATAAGAGACAAGTCGCCTGCCTTGCCTGTCCAGGGAACTAGGAATATACCAGTAAAGCAAAGTGTGAGGGTGAGATACAGTTTGAAAGACCTAACAATTCCTGAGGTCAGTGTCATCAAAGAGGGAACGCTGAAAAGGTAATAAACACCAGCATTAGACCTTAACTCTGCCCAATTGAATGACTAATTGAATGACTCCATTTAGAGTAGAAATAAATTGTAGTCTGCTCTGAATATCTTTTTTTATTTTAAATGATTGCTTTGCATTTATGAAGAAATTGTGGCGGTTCTGTTTTATTTAACTTGTATTGTTGGGTTTGTAGCAAATATCCCCATCAAAGAAATTGAGTTCAGTAAAGCCACCTCCGCACTTCTAACATCCAACAGCAAAATCTGTATCTTGTATTATTGATAGGTTTTTAACAACATTTGTAAACACATTAGATTTCTTGTGGTTTTGGCTAATGGTTTTTAATGGAGTTGAAGCAAAGTTTTTTTTGCTTTTCAACTGCAACCGCAACATTGTGCAAATTGCTGTTTTGTTTGATTAAATAATCAATTCTTAAGAAAAGGAAGTAGAGCTTTAAATGCTTCACCTTCAATAAACCTTCAATAAACTTAAAATCATGGAATTTCAACCAGCAGACAAATGGGAAATTTGAATTTAAGGATAACAATAAAGCTTACTTTTACAGCTGTTGTCACAACTGAAATGAGTAAACCTGAATCCTGTTTATATATGTTCATTTGTTCTTACCTGATTTTAAGTAGCATGTCAGTAATAATACAGTGCCCTACCTACTGCCCTGCACATATTTCCACAGTCATCTCCACCCAGTACAGTAATTAACTTTAAAAGCATTACATATAGTCTTACACACACACACACACACTGTTATGAACCCAGTTAAGCACATTTAGAGGTAAATTTACAGATGATTTTACCATGGCCATTTTATTTTCTATGCTTTTGGGCAGAGCTGCAGCTGACAGTAGTAGATGTTTTTATTTTTCTATACTGCACGACTCTTCATTCCTTCCTCATTCCTAAGTGTTATCTTGTGCTGTGTTTCCTCAAAATTATGACCTGGTTATTAAACAAGCAGTTTGTTAATTCTGCTGTCCGTGCGTGAAACTTGCAATTCACTATTTTGCAAGTTAAGAGGTGAAACTAATCGATTAAGGCAATCAAATTAGTAGAAACATACATCCCACTCAATTCCCTGTATTGCTGAGACGGGCAAGAAAATCTTCATAATCGCACATGACTGCCTGCTGTTGTCCTAGACATGCCCTCTAGATAATGCAGCAGGATGATACTAATGCAATTAAATCCTATGGGTTTTGATCAGTATTCTGAAGCACACAAATCTGCAGGATGGAGAAAAGGAGCCTGACTCACAGGTTTCCAACTCTGACTCATAGGTTCAACCAACAATAAACAATCAATACTGTGACCTATTAAAGGAAACAAAACACTCAAATAAATAATCCCTTTTACTGTTATGACAGAGGGGAGTGTGTTCAATACTTGTGGAACATGAACAGCAATCTCCTAAATGCTGGAAAACAGAGTCAAAAGTATAAAGTATGGTGTCTGTATTTCCCTTTTCTGTTGCAGAAAAAAAATGCAGTCTTATCCCTTTGATGTAGCTTTAGAATCGAATACACACAGCATCCAAATATTGACTGTGGGCCATCCAAAACACATTTCAGTTGCAAGTTAACTAAGGGCATTTTTATTGCACGTTTCAACCCCCATTTCACCATGTTCCTGAATTGCGTATTAGGGGATTGCACTAAAGGAGAGAAAGCAAATTTGGTAGGAGCATATAGACAGAGATTGGGATGCTATTAATGGTCCTTTCCTCTGAGACGCTCTGTAGTGGGCTATCATCACTAAATCTGTGAATCCTCGTTCCCTGACACCACAATTTTATAACAAGTTGTGAAGCTGGCACGGGAACAGGCAGAAAAGGGAAGCAGAGGGATGAGGGAGACCTCAAAGTGGTAATCAAAATCAGTGCTGTCATTCGTTAGCTCTGTGAGTGGGGACCTTGTGGATAACAAGCAATGGGGCAATAAGCAGAATGAAGGAGTGTGAAATGATATGGGAACATGAACAGACAGCAGCCCTGGCCCGCCTCAAAGGACCAGGACAACATGGCTGTCAACATCTATTTTGCTCCAGTCATTAACACTATAACAGCATTGGCTTGAAGTCCCCTTGCAGCCTCATTTTATCTCAGAGCATTATGAGTTTGCACTGTACCTAACACTAGAGTTCAGCTTTAAGTTACAATCATCCCTTTAAAACAACAATAATATTTTATTTTTTCATCCTCAGGAATTGCTGGCACCCCGGTGGTCTTCAATGTAAATGGAGATGCTCCTGGTCGCTATGAAATCTACCAATACCAGATCACAAATAACACGCCAGAATACAAGATCATTGGTCACTGGACGGATCAGCTCCATTTGGACGTACGCATATTTGAATTAGTACATATATATCTGGAAGATTGTAGACTTGAGTTTTCCAAAGAAAAAAAAAATCAGATTTTTGTGCTTGTCATGATCACATCAGACATGAACAATCAGCCAAAATGATTAAAGAGACATCCCATTTATGGTTATTCAGCATTTCATGGCCAATGCAATTAATTTAGTCTTAGACAAGAAAATGCAAAAAGCATGTGACAATAAAACTGCCGACTGTAGCTTCAACAAGTAGAATGATGGGTGTTGTGACCACAAGTCCCATAGAAAATAACTAGAAGAATTAATTGTTAAATGAAATGCATCCTTCAAGTAGGACTCGAGTCAACATGATCTCAAAACATTCTTTCTCATTTGAGTTCAATTTATGTGAAATTTACAGTATCTCTAATAAAGCCATATGTAGTAGAGCCATGACTTATCACTCTTGTCAAAGATGATACTGAACACATCTTGCTTATGTCGAGTTTTATAGGGCAACAGTTAATGGAATTATATTAGTAATAAATCATCTTCCTGGTTGGCGTTAAAATTTATCAACAGACGCAAATGCTTCAGGCTAACACTAACTGTATTGTACAGTATTATTATAATATTTCCGCTCACAATGATGCTCATATGAGTCGACAACTGAGTATAGAGAGAAAGGCATCTTTTTGCATTAACCTTATCGCCATCATTACATGATACAGTAAGACACCTGTTTCCTCTTTAACATATGCATGAAGCACATAATCTGTAGTTTTGCATATGTTAACATCGCAATTGCATTGTTCCTCACACATCTTGGCCTTTACAACTATGTGTATGCATCATTCTTGTTGTTATGCATCATTTATGTATATTATATATGAGCCCCCAGGCATTCTCATTTTGTTGACGCACATACTGTAGGTATGGTTTTGGATTATTGTAGACATCAAGGTCCTGAGTTATCAGCATCCAAGGAAATCAGGAATGTCATATGGAGATTTTTATAGACACAAAATTAATCATCTAAACCATCCAAATGCTTATTGGAATAATAGATATAATTGAATATTACCTATCCCTTTACGTACCTTATTTTACTTAATAAAGCCTCTTAAGCAAACTGCATTGCAATAAAAATAAACAACATCAGTGCAACAGCACAGGCACATGATACCACACTGTGTTGAGACTGCAGTACTGTGTAGCTTGGCTCTATCTTTCCTACTGTAAGTGCAACCTTCCTTGGAAGTAATTAAACAGCAAATTTGTTTCCCGTTGAGTTATAACTAGATGAGTTTACACAATGATGTCTTGATAAGACTGCAGCTTTCACGTAGTGAATATTCCATTTTCAGTTTGCTCATTCTTTCATGCATGTGTGTGTGTGTGTGTGTATGTGTGTAAACTAATCTACCAAGTGTTAACCAAATTGTGTCCTCATGCATTATATACCACATTGTTTAATATGTAACTAGTGAAACAATATGCTGTAAATTATCAATGTTTGCGCAGTATTTGTTTTCCTCATTAGAGTTTTATGGATGTGAGTATGTGAGTAAAACAGTGTTAGTTGGTAGTGAGGTGAAACTGGCCATTTGTGCAAATCTTTTCCCTTCAGATCAATGAGATGCAGTGGCCTGGTGGAACACAAGAAGTACCCTCCTCCATATGCAGCCAACCCTGCCGTCTTGGGCAGCGCAAGAAGATAGTGAAGGGAATTCCATGTTGTTGGCACTGCGAGAATTGCGATGGTTACCAGTATCAGGCAGACACTTACACCTGCAAGATGTGCCGCTTTGATTTGCGGCCCAATGAGAACCACACTGGCTGTGATCCCATTCCCATTGTCAAGCTGGAGTGGAGCTCCCCATGGGCAGTCATCCCTGTCCTCATTGCTGTCCTGGGCATCATGGCCACTCTGTTTGTGGTTGTCAGCTTTATACGCTACAATGACACACCCATTGTTAAGGCATCAGGTCGAGAACTGAGCTATGTGCTGCTGACAGGTATCTTTCTTTGCTACGCTACAACATTCCTCATGATCTCTACTCCTGATGTGGTTATCTGCTCCCTGCGAAGGATTTTCCTGGGTCTGGGTATGAGCATAAGCTACGCAGCACTGCTTACCAAGACAAATCGGATCTACAGGATTTTTGAGCAGGGCAAGATGTCGGTCAGTGCCCCTCGGTTCATCTCCCCAGCCTCTCAGTTAGTTATCACATTCAGCCTGATCTCACTACAGCTCCTTGGAGTGTGCATCTGGTTTGGTGTTGACCCGTCGCAAGCCATCATCGACTATGAGGACCAGCGCACAGCCAATCCTAAAATGGCCCGTGGTGTGCTGAAATGTGATATATCAGACCTGTCCCTTATCTGTCTGCTGGGTTACAGCATGCTGCTGATGGTCACCTGCACAGTTTACGCCATCAAGACCAGAGGGGTTCCCGAGACATTCAACGAGGCCAAGCCCATCGGCTTTACCATGTACACCACCTGCATTGTATGGCTTGCCTTCATCCCCATCTTCTTTGGGACATCACAATCAGCAGAAAAGGTAACTATTCCATTTAAAATGTGGTGGAAGTCTAAAATAACTAACTTTTGCCCTATTTTTACAATTATTTGTTTTAGATATGTGCATAAATGCCAATGTGGTCACTAAGCTTCAGCAATTGCACTACAAAGAGCACCATGGCAGCAAGTCAATTAAATTATCTTGCGCCTGTTGAATGTCAGTTTTCCATTTGGGGTTCTTTTACAGTTCATGTGCACCACATTGTGAAGAAAATGGCGACTCAAATTATGCTTGTTGTATAGAATCAGCCTCTTGTGTTTGTGGATGCTGCCACTATTCATCCTGAGATGATGAGCTTTGCAGTCCACTGTGGGGATTACAAGGCTTTTAGAGCCAACTTGTGAGAACAATTGATTCACCTCAAGCTTGCTTGGATATGTTTTCTTTAATTGTGTTGCTGTGTGTGTTTGATTCAGCCTCACTGGGTGGGAATACAGAGTAGTCAATCACTGCACATTCATGCACACAGAAATAGATAAACGCGGGTTTGTGAAGTAGCAGAAAATTACTGTGGCTGTTGATGTTTCTTGTAAGTTGAAAGTGAATTCCAAATTACCTCTACCCTACAAGTGCTAATTTTGAGGTTGTTCAACAGAGATGTACATTAAAAAGCGAGAGTGGAAATCAGTATGGGAATGCTATGGTGCTGCACATAAAGTTAATAGCAGCCCTTAGATTACGGACAGCATAATAGTGTGTTAAAAGGCAGGGTAATGGATGGAGTATGTATGGACATACTAGCAAAGTGATAGAGGAAAATGCCTTAACACCTATTAAAACATAAACAGTGTTATTTGGACAAAGTGTCCTTTAATGGAGGGACACACTCTTTACATCTTTGCGTCAGTCCTGCTCCCTACTCTGCCTCTGATTGTCTAACCCTAACCCCTAAACTAAAACAACCTAACAGAGGCTAGCCCGACTCGATGTCTTATGTGCTTTATTGCTGGTGGAGTGTAGAATGTCCAACAGGGTTTCAATCCAATCCCAACACAAATCAAAGAAGTTACCACAAAAAATGTAGGTCATATTAATTTACACTAGGGCAGGGTGATATGGCCAAAAAGTCATATCCCGGTACTGTTAGGCAGAATTCCGGTATAAAATATATATGGGTATTTTACGCTAAGCGGGCTGGGGAGTGGGGGGCGGTTTTAGTGGGCATGTTTTTACTATTTTTAGTAAGTTAGCTTGTTTCTTATTTCACTGTTTAAATTATACTTTATTCTCCGTCAGCGTTCCCCGCTTCTTATGCCGTTTTTCCATTACCAGTACCAGCTCAACTCGTCTCGCCTCGGTTTGGCTGTCCTCCGTTTTCTATTGCAGATAGTACGCAGAGATGGCACCCCTCAATCTAGCTGGTCATCATAGCGACACCACACACAACTGCCGCAACGTAATATTCAATGCGATACACACACCGGCGACGCACACACAGCTGTCTCTTGATTTAAGTTAAAACTCAGAATGTAAAGACAGATAAGACGGAGATGATACGAAAAAAAGTAGCCTGGTAGCAGGTACAAGTACAACTTTTACACAATGGAAAACCAAAAGAAGGTGAGTCGAGCTGCTACCGTGCAGTGGAAAAGGGGCTTTACCGTCTCTCTTCCTGTATGTCCGCTTCGGTGACTTTCTCCATCAGTAGTATGCTAGGCTGTTTAAAGTCACTGAAATGAACTTGTCTTCTGGACTTTTCCTCCGGTGATTCCCTTCACAGCAGCAGCTGAGCTGAATGTTGAGGAGGCGTGTTGACGACGGAGCCTATCAAAACAAAACCACCGTGGTAGCTACCAAATAACATCTGACTGGTGTGTTCACTGTCGCTTTACCTGGTCCGTTCTTGTAAAATATCCACAGTGTTGCAACTTGTAACGTAATCACTGTGTTTCTCTGATAAAAGCTACAATGTGTCGCCTAACCTGAGTAGACCGCCGAAGTAAAGTGTATGTGCGGGGAACACTGAATGAACCGTGCTTTTTTTTTTTTTTTTACAAGCCAGGTCTTTAACAGTGTCGACCAGCACTGTGTCTCCCTCCATGTTGTTAGAGATTTTGTGAGTAGACGGCTGCGTGCAGACGCAGAGGGAGGGGTGGGGCTGCGCGGTGAGGGAGAGAGAGAGGAGCAAACGCTGGCAGAAGAGCATATTAATTAACTCAACATCAAACTATAATCGGTATAAACGGTATTGTCTAATTTCATATCTCTTTTGAAATTATATTATGGGTATACATTATATACCGATATACCACCCAGCCCTAATTTACACAATGAAATTAAAGCATATTATTCTACAATATTCTATGACATTCATTTAATTTCGTCTATATTCAGAAAACCCTAAGCCAAAATATTTGGGTACATGGACTTTGAGGAGCAGTGGAAGTGTGTTCGTCTTCACATGCTTTGCGTATAGGTAGAGACAGCTCTGGCAGCTGTCGGGACAAGGGATTTGATGCCTAATGACAAAAAGGAGCAATCCTGCTTCAAATAAACTTCATAATGGCTCAGCCCGCTGAGGTTTCTGTCCCCTGCCCTGTTCCCTTGCTGTGCCGATGGAGCAGATTGGCAATCATATCGGCGTGTCAGGGAGAATTTATGTCACCAGGGCCGATGGAGGTGGACAAGGGTCTTGGCTCCCCTCACAGAGTGACTCCTCTCTGTACTCCAGAGGGGTAGCAATATTATTCCAAACTCACCCCGGGCCACGTGTAATCTTCTCAGGAGATTACAAAACTCCCCCTCTATCACCAAGGAATGCTCATGTGCTGTTTGCACTATGATGGAATACAATGCCCTATCACTTCCATTTTGCACTTACAGCTCTTTTTTCTCAACTGACATGGCTTTAAAGGGCTTAATTTGTGCAATGTTTTGGTTTTTATTATATCAACATATATCAGTCCCTGTATGATAGGTCATGCTATTTATTTTATTTTAAAATACTGTCCTACCCGTGGGAAGCGCGGTGGTGCAGCAAGAAGGTTGTGGGTTCAAACCCCGGTTGCCCCGGCCTTTCTGTGTTTGCATGTTCTCCCAGTGTCTGCGTGGATTCTCTCCGGGTGCTCAGGCTTCCTCCAATCCAAAGACATGCAGGCTAGGTTAATTGGTGTCTCTACAATTGTCCTTAGGTGTCCTTAGGTCTGAGTGGTTGTTTGTATTTTATGATGTAGGCTAATTTGAAATATAATACAGTACCTCCTATCTGGTCAGATTAATATATAAAGGTTTATAAACAATCCGTAAGCATCTTGAAATGAGAAGCTAAATGTTGCATAAACTCACATACAAACAACATGTCTCTAAACCCCATGTTGGGAAACATAATTTTCTAACTGTTGACATGCTGTTGGGTCGGGGCCCTGTGGGCTTTACCCATGCCAAAAGACTCAGTCATTTGTGATGTCTGCAAATGTAATGTCAGACAAAACCTCAGGCAAATCTCTTTTGAAGGATGTCTGCCAGCCGTGTTTCCACTGTATACTCTTTGCCTTGTGTTCATCAACTTCAGAGGACCTCAGCAATTTTCATCCAAGGGGCATAGTCAAAGGTTCCCTTCTTACTGTTTTCTAATGAATGTTTTTGACACTGTAGTAATATGAAAAGATGGAGTAGGATCACTGTGAAACAAGTCTTCAAATTCAAATTCATTACTTTCATGATATTTTTATTATGTTTATGGAAGCACACTTTCAAAATTGAGTGAATCACGTTTTCTGTGTTCAGTCTGTGCACCTTGCATGTAAGGCAATTTCATAACGCATATGTCAATATCAAATATGATCTATCTATTATATGTCTTATAGCCTCTGTACTGACTCACCACATTTCCTACATTAACAAATCAGATTGTGACTGAGCTCTGGGATGATTATCATAAATGAAAAATCACTTGCAGGCACTTTTAATATGCTGTAGGATGTTTCTTTCTGCTCCACAGTTGTTGCCTGTAGCTAAGTATCTGCTACCCAGCTGTGAGTTGCAGCTGTCGCTGGCTTCAGAAAGCACACAATCCTTATGCTGTTGTCTAAAACCTCAGGGTAAAAACATCTATATGCAGACTACATAGACACACATAATGGGGGCCCTTCTACTAGATGTAGCATAAATAAAAAAAACATAGCAATGACAGCAGAGCTCAGGAGTGTGAACCCCGCACATGGAAATACAAGAGTAGGAATAAAGGGTAATGTATGCCATCACCATGTCTTATGTAATGATTGTGTGATTCTGTGTGATGTACAAAGATCTTCTAAATAGAAGCTAGGATTTCTATGAAAGTATAAGATATTACTTGAGTAATACAGTGTCTGTCCTACATGCAAGATTTTAAAAGCCTCAGTCTATTGAAAGCAATACATACTTGACAATCACATGCTCCAGAAAATATTATTGCAGCTTTGTTAGATTCAAATTCAAACTGTCCCAGCTCTAAGTGGCACAAGCTTATTGTGTGCTCAGCTTTACCTGAGATTCAAAAACTAGAACGTCACTGTCCCCATCAGTCACTGTCGCCTCAACAAATGATTCTGTTTGTTTGTGTCCCTTCATTAACACAGATGTATATCCAGACCACAACTCTGACCATCTCGGTAAGCCTCAGTGCGTCAGTCTCTCTGGGAATGCTCTACATGCCTAAGGTCTACGTGGTTCTCTTCCATCCAGAGCAGAACGTACCCAAGCGCAAGCGCAGCCTGAAAGCTGTGGTCACTGCAGCCACCATGTCCAACAAGTTCAACCCCAAAGGTAGCCTGAGGCCCAATGGAGAGGCCAAGTCTGAACTCTGTGAAAGTCTTGAAACACAAGGTTGGTATCACATCTGATGGGACATTAAAGAGAAAGTAAAGAATAAAATGTGTTCCACTGGACCTCAACCAGGAGTTTATTTTAGGCTGATGCATTGAGCTGTTTATGTGTAAAATAATAGCAGTTATAGAATACACATGTGTACCTGAAAATAATGAACTCTTTTTATGTGAGCATAATTGAGGTCAGTGTTATTTTACACTTCAGCAGTTTAGGAAATTAGCAAGCCTTAGATGAGCAGACAAGAAATGAGGGTGCCATTTAAGTGCCAACTACAGTGGTGTTATACTATGGCTTTCTGAACATGGACAGAACTGTGTGAATAATTAGAAGACTGATTTCAGCTTAGCCTCTAGCTAGCATAGGATTGGGGCTATCCCAGTTCCCCATAATTCAACGATTTAATTGATTAATGGAAGATAAAACTAATGATTATAGCCTACAGTTTATTAATATAATATACACAGTATATATTCCACATATGCTGTATAGAAATATCAAATGTGAAATGTAAAAATGTGTTTGAAAAAGGAATGCAGTAACTTTCCTTTTTCCACCAGGGTAATCCAGCATTTTCAATACATGGAACAGAAAAATAGTTCCATTTTCACTAACTCTCACCACACTGGATTTGCGAATCAGGAGGTGTGACAGGGAGCCCACACTATCCTGATTTTGAAAGGGGACAAAGGAGACGGGTAGCTCAGTGTTGTAAAAGGGGATATTTCAATCACCAAGATAAAGTGTATGAGTAGGCAGTCCCTGTGTGGGGGGAGGCTTAAATCCAATCAAGCAGCCCAACATGTTCTGCTTACTGAAAGTCCTGATTTTATACTCTGACAAGCTGAACAGTATAGAATGATGTGTATTAGGACTAAAAAGCCTGTGCCCACACTTATATGCATGCCTTTTTTCGACCTCAAAAATGGAGTGGTTATATCTTATCCTATTGTAGAGCCCATTTATAGGTGCTGATTGTCACCCTCTGCTTTAAACTGTGAATCTAACAACTGCTCTTTGTGCTTATGTGTCAGACTGTGTTGAGGGAGGGGAGCCTTGTGAGGGACTTTAGACTCTCAGGTAACCTGATTAGACAATGACTTTGCCCTTTTATCATCTGTGACCACTTTTTTTCCTGTTAATTTCTGCTAATGTTCACCACAACACCTGTGCCTGCCTATACTATGCACAAAGCATCCCGGCTGCCCCTGACTAAAATACAGCACCCTGAATGACACAAGGCAGTAATCACGCCCTCATTAATCCACCCTTGACCAACAGACAGTAACTTGGATAGACAATGGTGTGTGGTGCTGTAAAATGGCCAATCAGCATGGTAAAGCCCGTTAATGTGGGAAGATGACACCACTCTGCCTGAGTGCAGCAGACAAGCGATAGCCATGTGTCCCCTGTCATTTGTTTCCCTGTTGACAAAAGAAGGAATTTGTGGTAATGGGACAACAACAACAATAAGAGTGAACAGGAAAAGACAGATGGGTCTGCCAGCTCCAATTCTTTCTGGACCATCTATTCTTTATCTTGGCCTAGCAGCACATAAATATTCAAATAAGGTTCATTTATCAATGCTTCTCTTGGAAGAGATGCTTTGGATGAAATGGCTAGAATACCGCCCCCATTCACACACCCAACATTGCACTGACAAATATACAGAAATGTTTACCATTACACATCTCTCCTCTACAGCACCTTTGCTCCGACTATGTCTTCTGATTGGATTCATTCCTTCTGACATATTCAATCAGCCAAGGCTGCTGTGGGCAGATTGGCAGATTGGTAGTGTGATTACCACCAGCAAGCATGCTCGCTGAGGGCCGTTTTATTTAAAAAAAAATGACCCACATAAACACGATGACACTTGCACACAGACATATGCATAGAAGCCTGACTGCATACACACACACGGGTACTGTATGGTATGACAGTCATGTTTGAACCTCCAGTCATCTGTCTTATGTGTTTTATTCACAGCTGATATAAAATTCCATGAAACATGAAAAGAATGTTAAAGAATAATGAGCACGGTTATCAAACATTGATGACAACACCAGTGCCAAGTCAGATCACATATTATCATAATAGCCTTTTACACCTGATGTGCTTTACAATTCAAAATGTTAATACACTGACGGACTGCTGCATGCTTTGCTTGGTGCACAGTGAAATCTCAGGTCTTCGCATGTAGTAGAAGACTTGCAGTTGAATGGTTACTATTGCATTTCATACCACTGTTGAGATCTGCTTGGCACCTCTATATTATGCATTTATTGATACAATTTAATGATTAGCTGTGAGGAAAACACTCTGACAGAGTTTCCCCTGATTTCATTAATGCCACTTTAATAGCAGGCACTTACATTGATATGACCACTGCCACAGCCTATAAGTCTGATTGCATCTGCATCACTGTCTTGACAAATAATTCATAGGTGATATGTTGTTAAAATGTCTGCAATGCTACCACGTGCTATAACAATCAATGATTAACTTGCAACAATCAGCAGTAGTCCCCCAATGCTATGAAGTTGTGTAAAATCAGCTTTTAGAGCAGGAACAATGACTTAATCAATTAGTTGATCAGCAGAAAATGTATCAGTAACTACTTTGATAATGGTAATCCTTTTTCAAGCAAAAATCCCAATTATTCTCTGATACCAGCAGCTGGACTTCTCTGTTTTATATCACTGTAGATTGAATGTCTTGCACTTTCGAAATCTGATCATTTTTTTCTTAACTTTTTTTTGACATTTCAGAGGCTTAACAATTAATTGATTAATCAAGAACATGTTTAATTTGAATACCTGCAAATGACACACAATTAAATTTAAATGCAATACAATTATAGAGAAGACGACATTCCTGTTATGATTGGTTCCACCTGCACTAGTCTAATGAAGTCATCCATAAATAGAAGTTCCCATCAATCTGGATTCCAACATGTGCTCTGAAAGATTACAGTTTCACACCTATTTAAATCTCAACCAACATGTTTTTAACCCTTCCCTTCTTTCTCCTACACCTTCCGTTACAGTGCTGGCCTCCAAGCAGACATACATAAGCTACAGTAACCATGCCATCTAACCGTGGAAGCGGAGCGAGGGCCTGCCTGAGGAGAAATCACCTGATTCTGGGGAAATACTGGAGGAATTCCAAGCTGCTACAGCAGAGAGGACTGGGGTGGAAAGATGGGAATTTGTCACTCCATATATAAAAAGGATGTCATATTTTTCTAGAGAATCAGGTAAAGGCTTGAATGCCAAATTTATGAAAAATTATTAGGTTAGCAGGAAGGAGATGGGAGATTTTCCTCTTCCCACCCTTTCTAAGACAAGTGAGCGTTGAGTAGCGACGTCTCCAGATGCAGGCTGAGTGAATAACCTGGAGATTACAGTATGTTTTCCTTCTGAAGTGTATAGCACACAGTTTCAGTCCTCTCTGAGGCTGAATCGTTTGTCTCATTTCAACAAAAACAGGGGGGGGAAGTGTTCTGCTTTTACTCACGTCAAATGCAGTTGACAAGTATAAAAATATAGTCATTATTTTTGGTTACTGGTAATATTGGGGTTGAAAGCTGCAGTACTCTTCAAACTGTACATGCCTTACTACAGTACATTCAGTATTCTTACATAAACTAACAAATCTGAAATACCGGAAAATAAAGCAGCGGGTCATCCCAGATTTTTTTTATAAATGTTTCATGATAATGATGCCATCATCTTGGCAAACCTAGTGTACAGTCCCAGAGCATGCTTGTGGGAGCATCACGTGTACTGTGCTGTGTCGTCAACGTCTATGGAATGCAACATTTGTCATGGTTGTCATTCACAGTGGAGATGTCATTTTGGACCATTACCCGCTGGGTTACCCTCTGCTAAATAAAGAGCAATTTCAAACACAAAAGGAGCAAATCTAAAAACAAATTGCCATGGAATACCTTTATAGTTTACACCACACTCCATAAATGTCAGCCAGGACTTAAGAGACTTGTCGATGCAACATCCCAGATATATTGGCTCTTATTTATCATGCGCTTGTTGACACCTTAGCAAAATTACAGCAGTTGGATGATTGGGAGAAATTCAAGTTGCCCCATTTTTTAAACTTCCATCTCAGCCAACATTAAAAGGTACTATTCTTGACGTAATATTAACACACTTGCAGTGGATTTCCCTCCAGTAAGTTACACTGTCTACTGTTATTTCTAGGGACGGGGATCGAGACCCGGTTCCAAAATTTCTCAAAACCTGAAAATCAATAAGGTTCTAGCTTATCGATACTGCTTTCAAGACTTGCCGGTCCTATGATGTAACGTTATGTCTTGAGCGTCAAATCTGATTTAATCTGAAATGCAATGGATAAGAAAATAATCAGGCTGCAGTCTCTGCCTGCTCTCTGTCGGCTCCCACACACACACACACACACACACACACACACACACACACACACAGGGCAGCAGCAGAGCAAGAGACTGCGCTGTCACGGTGGAATAAGGTGAGGGTTAAGTTAGCTCCAAACTAGTGTAACGTTAGTTGATGACAGCTACGCTCGTTACTGTAAGTACGTGCAATAAAACCGTCACAAGTAAAAAGACAATACTTTATCAATACACCTGTCTGTAAGGTAACGTTAAACATGTAGAAATGGTTAATTTAATCATCTGTCCTCAGTATCTCATCCTGTATGTTTTATACAAGCACAGCTACCGCTAGCTTGGCATTAGCCAAACGTTAAAAACAAGCTAAATAGAAAGCTGTCTGGAGCATAGACTGGTCTGTAGCCTTAAAAACTCAGCTGCTGGCTCAGCCGCTCCTCCTCCTACCTGGTAACGTTACCTGCACCCAGCGAGAGAAGGAGGGACTGATACAGATGTTATTCTTTCTAAACGTCACTCACTACTTGTGATGTCAGATAAAGTTATTGAGTTACTTTGCTGTTGTAAACATTAATGTTGCTGCTCTAGAAACAACATTTAGCTGGATTTAAAATATTAAATTAAAAACAACCAGTTAGTTAACATGTACAACTCAATATATGTTTATTTATCGCAAGTGATGTCATCTCGATATAAAAAAATTTCGTACATTGAATATTTTCCTCATACCATGCAGGCCTACCTCATGCCCGTTGGGTCTGGTATTGATAATGGTGTCGATAAAGAATCGGATCGTTAAGCAGTCTCAATAAGGGTATCAATATCAATAAAAATTAACGATCCCCATCCCTAGTTATTTCCATATTATCTTGTGTTTTATATATTTGTGTTTAGAAATATAAGCCGTACAAATATATTCTTTATTTTTTATAGTAGTAGTGAAGCTAGGGACATAATTGTCCTCTTATTCTAAACGCTCGATTTGTGGAGGAATAAAACACCACATGAATCTGTTGTCATACTACATATATTAACTTAAGCTTGATGGTACAGTATGACAGCTTGCATAGGGCAGGATTACATGAGTGATACATACTGTGATTTTTGATAGATGCCCAGGTAATCGGTGTTCCTTGCAAAGGATATTTTTCTGGTTTGGATCATGTATTTAGGAGCTACAGTAGAAATGATTGACAGTTTTAAAAGTATTTTGAGTACAAAATTAGGCTCATGTAGCTACTCAGCATGAAGACCCTTTTGGAGAAAGTGTGGCCTCAGTTCCATGAAAGTGAAAAAAGGTTCAAAGATAATTAGGTGGATGAAATGCATAACATTTCCTAAGAGGAGTGTTTTACCTTTCAACATGCTTGGTATGATCTTTTTATTGCTGGCACTATGTCATGTTCCATTTAAACACTTTATTTTATTTTGTCACTTAATTTAGCCAAAGAGGACTTTGTTACAGTAAACCTGCATTAAGTGACAGGTTCACTCAGTGTGGATCCCAATGAGAATTAACACTTGAGTCTCCAGCTCTGTGCAGCATTTAGCTTAATTAAGTGCAGATCTTTTGGCTAACACACAGACTCTATAGTTAAGTTAAGGCTCTTACAAACCTGCATATAAAAGTATATCTCATTTCCAGAAAACACACTCAGACACAATGATAGCACTCTTCCCGTCATGAAACAGCAAAGAAATTAAAGTATAGCAACCATTTTAGCTAAGAAAATGTAGAGAGAGAAGTGACTGGAAATTAAAGTTTAGCATCTAGTGACTCTGAGAACACAGCTAAAAGGCCAGTGAATCTTAAAATTATGTTTATTAGGTCAGAAGTATGACAACAACAAGATACTGATGTTCTGTATATGCGGGATGTGCAAGTAGGCAGTTGTTTACTAACATGTTAATATCAGGGTTTGTGTTTCTGTTTGTTTTAGAGCCTTTATGCCCCCTAGTGGTCAAAACTCACTTAATGAATCTTTAAAGGCAAAGCGATAATCACTTCTCCTTTTTTCTAATATACATTCATTGACTTTCCTTTAATTTTTAGATAAAACAAATGGGGGTGTATAGCTACTTGATAAATAAGGGCCAGTGCCTTCATTCTATGCCTCATAGCCATTAAACTACTCCTGCCATTTTTTCAATGGATCCTTCATGGTGTTGTCTGCGTTGCATCCATTAACTTTCAAGTGTATTCTGTTCAACACAAGGAAGAGAGGACTTAATGTACAATTTATAATTAAGTGTGTAAATTCCATTTCTGTCTCCAGTCTCTAAAGTATTCGTTATAAACAGTAACTCTGGAGTTTGTCTCATTAAATGTTATCCTCAGCAATGCAAAAATATGTATGTTGCATGTCAAAACTCATAACAAGTCATGTGAACAATCTGAGAGGAAGTGTAATGTCCAGAAGGAAAACTACTGCAGAGGATTATAAATAACTAAGATTTTGGTTTAATCAATGATTCCCTTAGCTCTCAGCTTCAACAAAAGTCAAGGGTGTTGCCGCAAATATTTTCTCATCATTTGATAAAGTATTGTTTGTGGGATTGTTTGTGTTTGTGAATATGATAATTTACTGCTATATTTTTTGCCACAACCCCCCACCCTCCCTTTTTATTTTTCTAAAACACTTTGTCTGTGTTACAAAATAGAATATGTAAGTGCTGACTGAAACTAAATGGCAAGTTAATGTACGTTATTAAAATGGATTGATCATGTCTGCTTTATGTACTGAATTATAAAAAAAAAAGAAATATAAAAAAGAATTACAGTGCCTGGATATTTATGAATTATCTATAGAAAAAATAAAAATGTGTAGAGCATGTTCATTTTTATACAAGATATTTCTAATAAACGACTGTTTTGCTAATACAGTGTTGCTGCTTCTTAGTTAACATGTTTTATAAGCAATCCAATGCAAACCAGAGTGTATTTCACCTTTAATAGTAACAAAGAAAATTGTTCCCATCTGTGTAAGGTAAAGGCCACATCATTATCAGTACTTCTTATTGCTGTTTTCTCAAAGTTGACAATAGTGCTGTGCTGAATACCATTTTTGGGGTTGCGAAGCTTCACTTAGCTTAAGCCCACCCCCCAAAGCAGTCAACCTAATGGAAAGGTTGCTGTCATCCTCTTGCACTCTAAGATGACGTTAAATATTAATATTATATGAATATTTCTTATTTTATGACCTAGTTGACACTATATGCAAGATAAAGGAAAAGGCATGCTTTAAATTTTTCATCTTAGATCGACATCAGAATAAGCTTTTAACTCATCAGTACCTGAGAACAGGTCGGATTACTGTTATCATTAGGGCGGAAATAATCAGTAGATTAATTAATAGTCGATCAACAGAAAACAAGTATTTTGATCATCTATTAATTGTCATTTATCAAGCATAAAATCCCCAAACTTTTTTCTCTGCTTTTCTTCTGTGTTGGTCAAACAAAAAAAAGACAATGGAAGATGTCACCTTGGATTCTGGGAACATTTGGCCATTTTTTCAGTATTTTCTGACTATCTAGCCCAAATGATTAAGCAGTTAATCAAGAAGATAATAGGCATTAATCTAACGATGCAAATAATCATTAATTGCATAATATAGAGTATGAACTAAATTGTGTTGATCAAGTTATAATGGATTTTATGGAACGGCAAATTCAGGTGACTGGATAATTTGTAGTCATGATTTATAAAGATGGGAAAGCCACATCGGAGTATATACAGGAATCCTGAAATAAAATTCAATACCTTTTAAGACCTCTTCAAGACCTTTTCAACATATTTTAAGACTGTCATGCCTCTTTGAGCTGTAAATGTAGCTGTTAAGTCAGCAACACTCCTTTAAAAGGGGAATTGCTGAGTTTTTAAAAGGAATTTATCAATTATAATTAAATATATTTATAACATTTGTATTGCCTATTTGTGACCAGGTTGTAACCTCACCTAAGAATTGAGGCATTCACCAGCTTTCTAGGTTGCCTATAATAGCCTGTATAGGCGTAGTGTTTTCTATGAAGGACTGGTCGGATTTCCTGCTAAAATCCATTGTCTTACATAGACTATGATGCTTATATTACTGCAAAACATGTGAAACACAGTATAATTTTCTGTTTTAGTCGGTTCAACGTAGATAATGTTAGCTTGCCTGCAACATAGTTGTAATTTATTGTCAGGCATAAATCTGGAAAGGGTTTACTGTTGCTTGCAATTTCAAACCTTACTGCTACAATGCACCTTTAACTTACATTTACTATAAATTGATTTTGAGACTGTAAAACTAAACACTCTTTGTTTGTGACAACTTTCATCGACCACATAATTGAAATAGGCCAGAAGGTAACAAAGCTCAAGAGAATAAATTGAGTAATGGATAACGTTAGTAGTGTAGGCTGTGTAGCACAGACATTTGCGGTCAACAGCTGCTGTCTGCCGCCTAAAGCAGATTTGTGTAAATTTTTAAAATAATAACTTTAGTTAAACAGATGTAAAATAGAACAAGGTGAACATGTTGCTCTCAGAAGGAGGCAGCTAGAAGGAGCACATATTGGCACAATGGCATCCTGGCTCTGGCTAAATCTACATCTGTCCACTGCAGAGGCTCGATCCACAACCTGGAGGAGGAGTTAGTATAGTACAGTATTATATTATAACATTATAATAAAATATATATTGTTAATATAAGGGTAAACTGTTAGCTTGATATTAATATATTATTTATTTGTTACTATATTTATTATATTATTATTTCACATAATAGTAAAATATATTATAGCTATTATATTATTAATTCCAGTTACAGCTTTTTCCGTTTGGGGTTGTTTTTTATTCATTAACTTGTGTGTAATGTAATGTTCTACATGGTAGTTAGTAGGGCTGCACAATTAATCTAATCGCAATGTCGTCATGTGCGATTACATGACCGCAAAAAGTATGTG